AGAAAGCCAGGTTCAAAATTCACGTTTCATTTTGTTGACATATTTGTGTGTGTGTGTGTGTGTGTGTGTGTGTGTGTGTGTGTACAATTTACGAGTGTCCACTATGGCTTATAATGCTTTTCCCTTACATAGATGAGATAATGGAAATGCCAGAGTGAATAGTGTTCTCCAAGTTGATTGTAATTGAATCTCTATGATGTCAGGTGCAAAGCTAAGGTCAAGCAAACTGCAGCCAAGTTATCCACAGTTTGTGAGACTGTATTAAGTTCCAGTCGGCTTTTGTAAATTATGAAACAAATTTCGAGTTGTTTTTTAGCCATGCAGATAGTTTGGTTTTATTTGTGCAGGTACAGAGATTCAATTTTTTGGACATTTCTGCATCCAACTAATAGGTTGTGATCTAGTGACTAAGTATAACTGAACATAGAATCAGAAACAGTTTTAATAATTTCAATTTTGTTTCTGATAAATTATGTGTTGTTTGTCAGTTCGCCTTGCCAGAAGGCTTTAAATATTACAATACAAACGTGGATGCTGATGCTATGGAGGGGAAGCCATTCAAAGGTGTCAACCAGATGTTTTCAAATTCTAAACTAGTCAACAGTTCACCCACAATCTACCAGAAGATTGATTTTAATCTTCAGATTTCTTTCTCAAAAAGAGACATATTCAGCTCTCTTTCCCAGTTAGCATCTCAAATCAGCAAATGTTCATCCATCCATCCATCCATCCATGTTCTCCCGCTTATCCGTGGTCGGGTCGCGGAGGTAGCAGTTCCAGCAGAGAGCCCCAAACTTTCCTTTCCCTGGCCACATCAACCAGCTCTGACTAGGGGATCTCAAGGCGCTCCCAGGCCAGCGAAGAGATATAATCCCTCCACCTGGTCCTAGGTCTACCCCTCGGTCTCTTCCCAGCTGGACGTGCCTGGAACACCTCCCTAGGGAGGCGCCCAGGTGGCATCCTTACTAGGTGCCCGAACCACCTCAACTGGCTCCTTTCGACGCGAAGGAGGAGCGGTTCAACTCAGAGTCCCTCCCGGATGACTGAACTTCTCACCTTATCCCTAAGGGAGACGCCAGCCACCCTGCGGAGAAAACCCATCTCGGCCGCTTGTATCCGCGATCTCGTTCTTTCGGTCATGACCCATCCTTCATGACCATAGGTGAGGGTAGGAACAAAAATGATCAGCAAATGTTAAGCTTTCTAATTGGATTTTTTTTGCTGAATACAGCTTGGAATTCAGGGTCAAATCTTCCTCTAACTAAGTTTGCATGTCATGTTATATTTATGTATGTATTATGTACCTGCGACTCTTTTCAAAAGAAGCCCGTATTCTCTGACACAGTTCTGTACTGGTGATTAGCCAATGCCAAGCAAAGGGCTCCTGTGTGAGTCATTTTACATTAGTGTTTTTAGTGTAGTTAAATAGCGTCTCTCTTTGGTTAGTGGTAATAAGTCAATATCATCTTTTCTTCCCCTAATTTGTATCCTCAATGCTACTGCGGATAATCCTCAGGCTTCATTGTCAACAGTTTTCATTTGAAGAGAACTGTTGCCGGTGAGGTCCTTAGATTATCCAAAGTAGGATCTCTTCCCAATGCTGTAAACAAGACATTCCATTCATCTCCATTGTAATGAGGTGAAGGCCAAAAACACATATCCTGAATGAATGAACCCAAAATTATCGACATGGCTAGATTCCATTAAAGGATGTGAGAACATGTTAATTGTGTAATTTATGCGTATGGATCCTTTGAAGACATTAGTGAAGAAGCATAGTGTTCACCAGCCACCCATGACACTGCGACATCACAACATCACGACAGCACTAGTGGACCGTGAGAGAACAACAGCAGACAGTAGACTTTACATATCGGCCCCGCAACCAACAAGCCCTCTTCTTCACATGCTTTCATGCAGTACAGCAGCAGGCAGCAGTTTGCATGCTAAATCATCCGAGTCAATTAAAGAGTCGTCTCTCAGGCAGTAAATTGCCAGACTCTGATCTGCTGTTGACCTCAAATCCCAATCCAGACGAGCCTCTACCCTCCACTTTCCAATCAACATTACTCCTATTTCCAATTCGGCAAAATTAGCTTTGATCTTGTTTTACGCCTTATTAGTTTTGCGCTCTCGAATCTCACTTCGAGCTTAGCTCCATCATGTTATTCCTAGCATTTGCACATAATACGTTTCATCCAAATGATTTTAGGATTTTTTGTTTTATAGTGCCAGGCATTTTTAAAAGTGATCATAAATATTCTGATTAAGGTACGTGTAAAATGGTTATTAAAGGAAATCTTTTGAACAGCAGCCAGCCAGTTAAGAACAGCTGTTTTCCTCTGTGTTCAGATGTCTTAGCCTTCAAAAGCAGGACCGTAGAACCTGTGAGGCAAAATGCAATGTGGCTATAATTGGCTGCGTACCAAAGTGTGTGGCTCACTCGGAGCAAAATGATTCAATCAGCTTAATTGTGCCAATTAAGTGTCCAAACATCGTCTGTGATCCACCTCTGGGTATGAGAGTGTTTGAACAAGCTTTTCTATTTCATAGCCAAGCAGGCCATCTCTGACGCACATGGATGTGAATGGAACAACCCTAAAACTACATACACACAAACACATACACTGGCAGCAACTTTTATCAGTGTCACCACAAGGGCTGAGGTCTTTCTGTGTGCTGCCAGGTTAAACGAATACATTTCAGTGCATCTAGGCCTGCTCTTATTGGCACTGTGGCACTTCGGCTAATCTGACACTCTCTCCTTTCCACCCTCCCCGGCAAACACACACACAAACACGCACGCACGCACGCACGCACGCACGCACACACACACACACACACACACACACACACACACACACACACACACACACACACACACACACACACACCTCAGGGCAGTGTTAATTATGTTTCTCTGTCATGTGGGCTGGCCTGTTCACCTCATCCCTTTGGAAGATGTTCCCATACTTCTGCGCAAAGGGTGTGTTCAGATGTGTGTGAAAGAGAGGGGCGAAACACTTTGGGGACCAGTAGTTTGGGAGAAATCGCTTGGAGGGGCGCACAACGTCATTCATTGATCAAAGATACCCCTGGATCAGACATGGTGGTCTACTGAGGACTTTCTTTTGTCCACGCTGATGGCTGTAATTCATGTCTGCCTCCTTAGGGGGAGATTGAGAAAGCGCAGTAAATTACCTAAGTGGCTATAGCTGAGCTCTCGGGAGTCTTGTTTCAAACAGGGCTATTACACGTTGAAAGGCATGAAAAAGAGAAGGGTATAGAGAAAGGCTATTTAATCCAATGTTTTGATGGTGGCACCCAGTTTTTGCTCTTTCTTTTTCAGCTGTAGCCTCGGGATAAACAAACAGGTGTCTGCCATCAAACCGGGTGAAGCAACAAACAGATATGCGCCCATGATAAGGTGTCGATATTTACTGGAAAACAAATATGGTTTCCTTTGAACATGGGACAATTTCAGGTCGAGGCCGTGAGTTCTGAGTTGTTATTGATGGCAGAATAAATAACATATAAAAACGTGAAGTCTTTCTTCACACTTTCCCATCAACGACTGGCTGTAAGAAAGAGAAAGATAACACTTTCCCTGATAACAAAAGTGAAAAGCTTTGAGGCACTTAACTTTGAGTTCAGCCGGAAAAAGTATTTACAGCGACATCTTTGTCAATACCTCATGCTGACTGAAAAGAGAGGAGGAAACTCTGGATAGTGTTTTTAATGGGAGAAGAAAAGAAATGGAAACGCCCTTCACAACTTTGTTCACAAAGGACGAAAGGGGATATTGTAGCGCCCCAGGCTTTCTCAAGATGCTACAATGAGATATGTAAAAAGAGAAGAGAAAAGGTTTCTGGCAGTTATTGTCAGGTCCGGAAAAAAATATCGTCTTAGAGATCTTTTTTATTCGACAGGGTTTTATTTTACAATACCCTTATCCTAAAATAGAGCTCAAAACAACTGGAGATATGGAGCCTGCACAAAGCTTTTAGGCATTTCCATGCTTCAATCCCACTTCTCATTGCTTTTGTAAGTGAAACTGAAAAGCAAAAGCACCGAGGGGCATGTCAGCCTTCATATGATGGTTTAAAAGTTAAAATCCCTTTTCCAGGTTTGTGTCTGGACAAGGAACAAAGAGCTTTCCCCCTGACCTCCAACCATCTCCACCCATCAAAGGCCCGTTGATCTGGGTCTTGACTGACACGCATGGTCAAGCCTGGAGAGCGTAGAGGATTGCCAGTTGCTCTTTGTGAGGTTGTGGTTGGGCGCTCATATCCTTGGTCTCTTTATCTCTTTTGAATACTCACCACGACCTCAACACAACGCTGCGCATCAGTTTTTGTTAAACCCTTGTTCTGTGTCCTCTTGCTGTCATAGTGTTATAAAACCGATTTTATGAGTTGCTTTTCCTATGTCTTATTCATTTCTTATATATATATATATGTAGTTGTTAGAAAAGCTGAACATGGAAAAAAGACTTTGAATTGGATTGAAGCTTAGAAATGCTACCTGTTGTAGTACAGGCAGACTGTTCCTGCAATGCTCCACTGGGATGTCCAGATCACCATCTTAAAATCACAACGAGACTGTGCTGTTTTTAATTTTGAATGTATTTCTTGATTAAGCTATTAATCACTTTGAGTATTGACTTTATTTGTGGACAAATAATCAAATTTCCCTAAGTCTGAGGAGATAACGTTAAGTCTTCACATTTGAAAAGCTGGAACCAGAAAACACTTTACAAAACATTTTACAAAAAAAGAGAAAAAAAACATTGTTTGATAAAGATATTATAGTTTATAATTCATTATTTCTGTCCATTAACCAAATAAATAATAATAAATGAATACAACTCTGTAGGGACTTGGTTTGGGAACTGAAGGGTTGCTGGTTCAAGTCCCAATCGAACAAAAATGTGGGGTGTGGTCTGTTCGCTGGAGAGGCGCTATTTTGCCCCCTCTCCATTAGTGCATGTCTATAGGTCCCGTTTGTGCATGTGTGTGTGTATTTCGAGCCGGTGTGTGAAATTGGAAAATAACGGGAATTCATGTAATTGATCTTAATCTTAAAGGTGGGGTAGGTCATTTTGGAGAAACCAGCTCGAGTGTGCTAGAATTTGAAAATACACAACCGGAAAAAATCTGCCACTTCCTTACAGGGCCCCTCCTCCAACACACACACGAACGTGCACATGAGTCATGACCAATGAGGGCACGAGATAAGTTTGTGCACAGATGGAAGGCTGACAGGCAGGTAGGCCTTCAAGTTATTTTTGCCGGGCCGGCTAAAATGATTGGTCGTGCTTTTTACAGTATTACGGGTTCCACAGATGACATTTCTTTATGGATTTGTCAAAGCACTTAACATATTCATTGCTATCGGGATGTTAAGAGCATTCCATGGAATATAACAAAAAGTGTATCTCGAGCCGGTTTCTCAAACTTACCTACCCCACCTTTAATTGACCAATATATCAAATGTAATCAATCAATACAAATCAACATACTTTAAATAAATGTTAATACCTGGATTTTGTGTTTCTTTTCATTAAATTGTGAAATGACTGACCCAATTGTTTATTTATTTTTAATTGTCAGAAACCGGAATGCAAAATCGATATAAAAGATACATCCTCAGTAATAATAATAAGTGTGCACTTAACTTTAACCCTTCGATGTCTGTAGGAACCCTGATGGGGACGTTCAGCCGTGGTGCTACATCGCAGATCACGAGGACGGGATCTACTGGAGATACTGCGACATCCCAACATGCAAGAGTAAGAGATCGTTGACACTCCTTCATCTTTCCTTCCCTCTCTCTCTCTCTGAGCCCTTCCATGCCCTCGGGGCCGTGTCGTGGGCACACGGACCAGCCATTTCCATTGCTATGCTCATCTGCTTGCCTGCTATGAATAGCTTTTATAGACTGTATGGCTTGTACACAACTATTATCATCCCAAAAATGTCTCTAATTGTCTCCCGTCTCCCCTCCTCCTGCCAAGCCTGGGCCTGCCCTCACTTTAATGCAAGCTGTCAATCGCTGCCTCCGTGTGTTTTCGCATGTGTGTTCAGAAGTTTCCCCTTTGGCTTTGTAGCTTGTTTTGACACGTTGTTTAATGTGAGTGTTAATGTGGATCTACCTGTTTGTGGATAAATATGTATGTTTAGTGGGTGAGAGAGTCCAGTAGCTGGATAAATGTGTGTAGTCTGATTGTTTAAGTTTGGATATTCGCTGCTTCTGTCTTCTCTACCGGTTTGGCACACATTTACAAAGACAAGCCTTCCTTTAATCCCCTTACTTTCATTCCTTCCACCTTTTTAATCACTGCTGTTGAAAACTGACTAAGGGTGGATCAACCTACACTGGTTCTGATGCCAAAGATGAAAGAAATACAGAATAGGAGGTTAAGATATTGCAATTAGCCGCAAGCATGTCACATGTGCATTTTTCTCACGTTCTTCCCTTTGCAAGGTAGATTAGGTTTTATTGCATTCTTTTAATCACAAAAGAATCAGATAACTGAACATAAATCAACGCAAGCAGAAGTCAAACACCAACTGACCTATACATTCTTTGATATATAATGATATATAATAAGACCTAATAGGAATTAGGTCTTAGTTCTTTATATGCTTTTACAATCCTTGCCATAACAAATAAAAGCCTTGCTTTAAAGGATTAAATTCAGCCTGTGTTCGAACTCGAGGTAAAAAGTGGACATATTGATCAGACAGTGTTGTGGGCAAATCTGAGACTTTGAGATATTGCGAGTTTTCCCTGAAGTAGGTAACGCCTGGCCTCAAGAACCCCTGGAGCTATCCCACCATTATCTTGTCTGAGTAGCATGCTCGACTAAAGCTTGCTGTTTGAATAGATTGCGTGTTTATGTGTATAGGAGCTTGTGTGTATCCCATTAGACTTTTGACTGACCTATTTCAGACAACTGTCCATTTAGCCCGGTTTTTCTAGGCTAATATCCCCAACCTTTGTGTTTTCAGAGGAAAGAGTAGCCCATGTTGTCTCTTATCCCTTATCTTTGGTTGAATTAGGCCAGCTTTTGTTCCAGATTGGTTTACCAAGTGCTGGTTCAGCCTTGTTCTTCTCCAGAATCCAGCACTGTGCAGCGAGAAACCCATCCCAGCGATCGAGGACAAAGACGCTCCTATCAGCAGCGTGCTGTATAACCAAGAAAAACTTGTTGCTCAACTGTCTTTTTCTGCAGAAAAGCCATATTGCAGAGGCTGTGAGGCTTTTCCTTTGTAGGACATTAGCCGCTTTGACACCAAGTACTTTGCCGTACTTAGTGCCCAGCACTTAGTGCCAGCACTTAGTTCCTCCATGGAACTAAGTACAGATCGTGTTCACACCGGAATAAGTTCCCTGAGGGAAGATTACGCAAATGAAGCCGCTGACGTCACTTCTTCTTCTTCTGCTTTGGGTTTACTGGCAGGCCGCAAACCACTTCACGGCGTATACTGCCACCCGAAGTCCCCGGAGTTGGGGACTGGCTTCAGTAGAAGCTGCTGGGACTCCCAGCTGCTTCTACTGAAGCCTTCCGAGTAAATCGCCAGAACGCCGACACCTCCTCATCACTCCAGCGCTCCCATGTTTTTTTTTGTGTTGCCATAAGTTAGTCTCTCTCCGTTGGTGCGCGGGGCTAATCCTAATGCTAATAATGCTAATGCCAGCAAATAAAATGGCTGATTCACAAAACTTTTCAGAGTTTTACAGGGTGTGGTTTGCAATTTGCCCAGCCAATCAAAATTGTTACTTTTTTCTCCCCAGGATAGTCCCACCTTTCTAGCAGGCACTAAAAATGGGGGTAAAAGTTCTCTGAACTAAGTTCTCTTTTTGGTGTGAACGCAAAATTCCAGGCACTATCAGAACTAAACGGGAAAGTAAAAGTACTCCGGTGTGAACGCGCCTAATGCCCTCAGAGGAAATGCTCATTTCAAATAAAATTCATGTTGAGTATAATGATGAGAATTGTAAAGTTAGACTCAGGAATAAAAGAAGGTGATCAATCCATTTAAACACTCACATCTCTCACATTCTATCTATTCAGTTTATTCACATTTGTACCACCCTTTATGGCTTTAAAGTGCTCCTATTTCCCGGCAAAGCTATCAAATGGTGTCTCCATGAACTATCCTCTTTCTGTTTCAGCATTTAAAATTATCCATTTTAAGAAAAGGAGATGAAGATAGCTCTGAGCCAGGCATCCAGTGTCAAGAAACATGCCTGCTCATTGGAGACGGTTTCTCCCTGCAGGGATACTAGGCAGATTTCAGACACCTACGCTCTGTCTCGTCTATTGTGAAACCACAATCGCCACGTGGTGCCTCACCTTCTGCTCTCAATCTGCTGCCTTTGAAAGCTAGGGCTGCCAAGTGAGAGAATGCCCATGCTCTGTCAGTGTCAGTGTTCCCAACAACAAAAGGCTGAAAAACACAGCGGTGTGCCAGAGGAAGGGCAACAGTGTTATTTGTTTTCATTTCGTCTGGTTTTTGTTTTGTCTGGGCCTCCGTTTTGTCAACTTTTCTGCTTACGTTTGATGTCGCGTGGTTGTTAGTTGGTTGCCGCTTCGCTGAGGCACCTGGAGCCTGCCAACAGCCGGGCTCCCTGTCATCTAGGGTCCTGCCACCCTGGTGAAGGTGACACACTCTGTTAGTGCACGCTGCCAGGCAGGTCACATGAGGTCAGAAACACATAGCCGGACATGGTGGATTATAGTGTAGATTACAACATTAGTAGATCCTTGTAATCCCTTATGGCAGCAGTTATCGTGCGCCGGAAATAACCATTTTAAAAAGCCATGCTGTCAAGGCACATCTACGACTGTGGAAATTGACATGTTCAAGGTGGAACCTAGTTATCAGCCTTTCTAACTTATTGAAGACTTACATTTTTAAAGTCTCAAGTTCTTTATATTTTGGTAAATATAATTTCATTGCGAAGTTTTCCCTGCTGTTTAGTTCAGTTTTATTTTTAGTATTTCTATCAGCCCTCAGTGCACAAGGCAGAGAAGGCTTCATGTTGTTTGACTTAGCAGCGCTGATCTAATGAGGTGTAAGGAATTTACCAGTGCAGCCTCTGGCAAACTATAGGGCGTAGAGGTATAACTTCAGCAACACGTGGAATATACCAAACAACTTAATTGTTAGACAAACGAGTTTCGGCTTGTGGCCTTGATCAGGGTCATTATGCCAGAAAGCCTTTCTCTACAGAACAGTTTGTTCACCGGATAGAACATAGAGTTGACATCTATAATTAAGGGACTCTAATTATTTGTTTTCAATGATGTAGTCAGACAATTCCCAGAAGGTCAACATCAGTTTTCAGTTTACTTGTGTTGAGGCCAGTCTGCTAAAAAATAAGCTTAATTTAGTACATTTTACTCACTTGTGATAAATAATTAATTACCATTTATGATTGACAATATGGCAAGGAATTGTTTGTAAAGACAGAAAACATTGTAGAAATATGATCAGGTCAATTGATAATGATATCTTTAGTTACACATATCAAGCATTACGGCACTATATGTATCACTGTTGTGACATGAGCCCAAAATAAACGTTAATTGACTATCAACGTTCCTTTTTAAGAGTGTTGTTTCTGGAAGGACTTTTTGTTTTAGTGTGGCTCTTTTCAGCTTGCATGTGCCCTCGCTTAATTTCATTGACACAGAGTGAAACTGTCAGGGTGAAGTCCTCGAGCGTTTGCCAAGACAAAGACGCTTTGATGTGCACGGCAGGAGCTCCTCTCAGCAGCGTGCTGTATAACCTAGAAAAACGTGTTGCTCAACTGTCTTTTTCTGCAGAAAAGGCACATTGAAGAGGCTGTGAGGCTTTTCCTTTGTAGGACAATGCCCTCAGAGGAAATGCTAATTTCAAATAAAATTCATGTTGAGTATGATGATGAGAATTGTAAAGTTAAACTCACATCTCCCACATTCTATCTATTCAGTTTATTCACATTTCTAACACCCTTTATGGCTTTAAGGTACTCCTATTTCACAAGAGTTTGTAAAAAAGTTATTTTGTAACTTTAACTTTAAATGTAAACTCACCACGTACTGAGTTTTCTGTCTTTCAAAACTCATTACAGTAGGTATGCTCTTATTTAATTCCCACTATACATCTTATCAATCGGTAGAAATGTACTTTCAATCAAGTGCAAAACATATTCTTAACATAGGTATTTCAATTGTATGCTACTTTATACTTCTAATTGAGTTCATTTCAGAGTCTAACGCTGTACTTTTTATTCCCCAATATTCATTTGAAATATTAAAAGAATACCAGTTACTTTGCAGATTCAGAGTTTAAATACTTATATACCGTAGTATACTGTATCATTCTTAAATGGGCCATTCTGTATAAAGAGTACTTTTAATTACCTTTTTCTTTTAGCACCTGCAGACTTTTGTGATTTTCCCAAAGTTAAGTTTTTCATGTGCAACTTTTTCTAAGTTTCTTTTTACAGTTTGACACACTAGTATTTCTACTGCAACTTCAAAATACAATCTCCCAGATCTCCATTTTGCTTTCTTTGGCTGCCAGTATGGCGAGTATTTGCAGGTTTGTTGTGAGGACTTACTTCACCAATGATTTTTTTAACATAAAGAAGATACGACCTCTTTACAGGATGTAAATAAAAACACTGTAGTGTACGTTTTCAATATGATTTTATTTATACATTGTTACTGTGGCTGACAACACCTGCTTTCAAAGATACTTTGTGGTGATTAAACTGTTTATTTGTCATAGAGCT